GGTTGGTTTTAAGGCCCCGGCCCCACGAGGACGGCAGACGCATACGGCTAAACGCATAGGATTAATGTAAACGAAATCGCAAAAAAGCTTCCGTCCACACGCAATATTCACCGGATAGTGTCTGTCCACACGAGACAGCTCCGTTTAGCTCCAACCGCTTGAGAGCCTGTACGTGGCGCTGTAACTTCCTCCACAAAAGCAGCGAAGAAGCATGGTTGTCATGGTTGCCCATCTGTTTATTCTCCGCGGTGGGGGCCGAGGGAACCGGGCAGAGTTTTTCGCCAGTCAACGTGTATTAAAGTTTAAATCTTCCGGACAAAATTATAAAAGTGCGAATCAAAGGTCTTCTCTGCTATTTATTGAGCTTTAAAACAAATGAATAACGACTCTATATAATATAATAATAAAATACACGGAGCCTCTCTTTTTCCTCCCTCTCTTCTGACAGCGTCAGTGTCTGTCTCATGCAGCAGCTGATCCAGTAATGAGTGACCCGACAGTAAAAATAAACATATTTATAACTAGTTTAGGTAGTTTGAGAGGTAATTAAAATAGCTAAGGGCGATGATCTGACTTGAAGTGTGTGTTTTGCTCCTTTCACCGCTGCATCACAGCGGGAGGAGCTGCAGGTGAGCAGAGCTGCGTGTCTCCGTCCTGTCAGATTAGACTTCACTCGCGTTTATGTCCATATCGAGAGAAAGATAAATAATCTGAATTCAGTGTGCAGTTTACTTTGACGCGGGGGTGAGCAGTAGAGGTGGGGAGAGGCGGGGCTATTGCGTCATCATTATCAGAAAATGATCGTATAGGGCGCACACACGGAGCCGTTTGACCCCCCGGAGCGTTGCGTATGCAATCAATTTTAAAATAATCTTAGCTAACTGTCCTTTTATTATATATCCCTTGCCTAAGTAATGATAGTGACAGGTAGAAAAAAAAACTGTCAATGGGGGAGTTTTTCCCATGTCTGAACCAAGACATACGTTGCCAATCCAATATTTTTGATCCTGTGTTCCTGTGTTAATTACCAGTTTTACTTTTGATAAACCCAAAAAGTTTTTGTTTTAAAAAAAAATCCTCCCTAGTCAGGTGATGGAGTTGAGTGGAAGCCAAAGGTTTTCTGCAGCTCACTTTCTGCAAGTCTCACTGTCTCACTACAGCTCTGTACTGCAATACCATCGTTTATCAAACCAATTTTGATTTGATTTAAATTCCTTGACTTAATAAACTCTGCCAACACAATCTGTGTGGTGTGCTTATACATCGGTCAACAACATCACTTGTTGTGCTAACCTCTTTGCTGCATTCTCCCCTGTGTGTGTACTTGTATGCAGGGTGTGTATGCTGTGGGGAATTTCCAGCCAAGTGAGGATCGGTCTAGAAGTCAAGCACCTACCCCGACCCTCAGAGAGCCCCCCCTCTCCTCCTTACCAAATGTCAGCCAATCAGCACTTAGCAACAGCCACCAAGGTAACACCCTGCCTGACAGCTTTCTCTCAGCATTACAGATATATTGTCGGGTGCGAATAGAATACAACATATGCCATTAATAATACATTATAATAAATAAAAAAGCTAAAGGTTTTATTAACAATAGGCAGTGCAGAAAGAAGAGGAAGCCAATGAGATGAAGGAGGCCAAGTAGAAAAACCTGATGACATGGCGAGTAGCCCAGATCTATTCTTTGGAAGAGGAATATAGGGCAAAGTGCTCAGTCTCCTAGGAAAGACGAGTTGTAAAAACAAAACCCATCAGGAGCGCTACAGCAAAAACATGCTCTACATGTGGATCATAGCAGTCTACAAATAATGATTCTTATTCGTTATTTCTTCATGAGCTCTTTGTGACACCAAAGAACAGACAAGTGCACCCATAAGGAACAGGAAGCAGACCATAGCTTGTCAATTGTCTCTTCCTCATATTACGTTTTTCTTTAAGCACCAGGTTATTTTTTCAATTGCTTTCATTAAGAACAGAGTGGACGTTAGAGGAGAAGCTTGTTTTTGGTCGTTCAGAAGGAAACTATCATAACAAAGGCAGAAAAGCCCAATTGTTTAAGCTGATCATCTGGGTATACCCTGGATGTTACTATTGGCAAGTGTTGTACATGTATCTTCATAAGCTTATCTTCCTTATCACTTTACGGCTATCTGACTGAGCGGTGAAACTCCTTCAGAATTTGTAAGAGCGAGAACCCTCGATTGGTGTTCAAGATGAAAAAACGGTGTAAAACATATATAAAATAGCCCTAATAAATAGATAAAAGGCAAATCAAATGTTTTTAATGATGAGAACACTCATTTAAGATAATCCCCTTTTAACCTTGACATTAGGAGTTTGACTCTCCTTGTTATCCACTTACAGGTCACCACACCCTGGCTCCCAGCCAACCAGAGCCCATCATCACAAGGACCTCCTCCCACACATTGTCCCTCAACCAACCAGAGCACATCCTGACTCGGAGCGCCTCCTACCGAGAGCCGTCTATGAATATGAAGCGAGCCAGCGCTGACATGGAGGTGATCACCCCGTCCAGCCCCATGGGCCCCACCGACAACATGATGACCTTCAGCAGCAGCACCCTGCCAAGGTCAGCAGATATCCTGTTTAACTGCCACATGCTTATCCGTAAAGGCTTTTTTGCTATGTGCCTTATTTTTCAGGGAAAGAGGACTTCCTTTTATTTTAGCATGGTATTCATGGTAAATCATTTTGAGTAATTTCGAGTGTTCCCAAAACCCCGGTGTTCTGCAGTTTGTGTGGGCCTACTGTACTGTTGCATAGTTTATACTGTAGAAACTATGTCCAGGACAAGGTATTTGGAAGTTTTGAAAGATTCATAGCTAACCACACTGAAGATTATGGAGGTATTGATCAGTCTGCTCATATCTCTAACATCACCAGAAGTCATAATTTAAGGGGTCATTTCTCAAAATGTTCCCTGTGTGGTTTATTCATCATTACAATAGCCCCACCTAAAATAATTTCCACCAGCCGCCACTGGTTTTATGCGATATAAACATGTTTTTCAAAATGTATATTCAACACTCATGTGAGAATAGGACATAGAAACGTGGGTGTTGCAATTTTCTGCTGTTTCTCGTCAATATTGAATTGAATTCCTTTATTCAAATTTACAAGCATACTGTAAATTATTTCGTTCTTAATTTTATTGCTCATAAGTTAAAAAAAATTAAATAGAAAGTATTATTTAGAATTTATTGTCGGATAATAGATTGATTGTTAAATCATGCCGATATATGCCACATAAACAATATTATTAGATTAATTATGAAAACTTGTAGTTGTGTCACTCCGGTGAATTTCTACCCTCAAGAAGAAGCAAGCAGAAATCTAGCTCAGAATGAATCAGCCTGTTCTCCTACAAAAAACGACCAAATAGGTTGATTGTTTAAGCAGCTTAGATTACGACCCATAGCCACGTTTTAATGTGTAGCACCTCTAGTGGTCGTGTAAGAAACAACATGCTCCCGTTTATTCACAAATAACCCTCTCTGGAAAATCCTAAATTGTAGAATAGTTTGGCCATTAAAATGATTTTTGATTAGATTTCTAGCGAGAAGTGTATATTGTACTCTTAGAATCCATGTCCAGTGGATGTGTAGGATCTATAGTTTGATAGATATTTCCGAAGATGATCTGAGGTCTTGTCAGGATAACGTGTATGCAGCTTCAATGTAAAGTTAGCGTGGGTGAAAACAGTTTTCCGGTCTCAAAGTTTTCATAATAAAACCGGATATATTCCCCTCACTGTCAAATGATTACCCAGTGATATCTGCATTACTCATGCAAAAAATCCCTTTCTATCAGCTGTGCACCATTATGGTGTAATATAATCTCTACCAATTGGATCAAATATAAAAGTCAGCCGAATTAGTGTTGATACTGTAAGCCTTGTAAGGAGACATATTGTGTGAAAAGAAATGGAAGATGTTGTTTAATTGCTA